GTGGTCACGAGACTCTGGGTACACAGATATTGGATGGATTCCTAATCCCAGGCTCACCTCAAGATAAAGATATTGCTCCATGTGGCAATCCTTAAAGCGAAGTTCCACCTGAAAATAAAAAAAAAAATAAAAGTCAGCAGCTACAAAAACTGTAGCTGCTGACTTTTAAAATACAGACACTTACCTGTCCCTCGGTCCAGTGGTGTCCTCACCATGGCTGGTTTCACCGGCCGTCCTCTCTCCCTGGCATCTTTAGTGTGGGCACCCGGCTTTGACAGCTTGCGGCTTCACAGCCGGGTGCTCACTGTGCATGCGTGAGTAGTGCTGCACTTTGTGACTTGCCCCGTAGTCTTCTGGGACCTGTCACGTGTCTCTGAAGACTACGGGGAGGGAGGGGGAAGGACAACTTCCGCTTCTGATCACAGCAGAAGTGGGAGTGGGTACCTATCAAATTCGTTTACCCGCTCCCCAAAGGTGCCAATTCTTAATGGGGAGCGGGGGACAAGGCTTAAAGCAGAACTTCCCCTTTTGGGTGGAGCTCCGCTTTAAAATATGGTGGCTGCATGCGTGGTGAAAAAGAAAATCCTTTGACCTATGGGATTATATTATTTTTATGGGACTGTCACTCATTATATGTCCAATATTTATTTTATTCTATTTGGGACTATTAGTCATTTTATGTTGCTGATAATTATTCTATTTTTGTCATATGATATATTTGATTTAATGAATTAGTGCCTACCTATTCAAGAATTTACTATTTATAAGTGTATTTCACTATTTAGGGGCAGCTGTTATCATTGCTGGTATAATCCACTAATTGTTTTTACCACATTGTGCGTCTTTTGTTCAGCTCTTCTTTTTCTTTTCTTTTTTTTTTTTTTTTTGGCTTTTTTTTTTGCTGGGCAAAATAAAACCGCAAAATGTGGCAAAGACCTTCTATCATGCATTTCAGCGGATTCTCCATTGAACGTTATTGTAGCAAAAACACTGCTTTTTGCTTTTAAAAAAGTCCCTGACCCTTTCCAAAAACGCAGCAGCTAAAAAAGCATAGATGTGAACATGTTCCATAGGAAACCATGTTAAATGGACTGTAGTGCGAGAAGCACTAAAAACGCATTGGTGTGAACGGACTTGCCTGATTCTCCATTTCCTGGTAGCTTTCACTCTCCTCTGCTCCCCTATGTTCAGGCAATGGACCGTTCCTTGGTGTTCTTATAAAAATGGAAAAAATATGTTTTTTTACATTTATTTAGAATACTGTAATTTAACTTTGCAGCTTTTATGCATGTGGCATTGCAGCCTGAAGGTGGCAGTGTTCATCAGCAAGCTGAAGGCTTTCATTCTTCTCACAAAGCCCTCCAGCTTGCATGTGATTACCATGTCATATCTGACAATGATTACCTGATCGGAAATCATGTAGATCGCCTCCCAATGGTCAGTGAGGACTTGAGCTGTCAAAGGCAGTTGGCATTGAGAGCCCCCAGCTGCACTGGTGTTAACTGGTGGCTTTTAAAGGGGAGAACATTTAGGAATGTTTCCTTTGCACAGGGCGTTGGGAAAGGGTTAAAGGAAGCTGAGTGATAAGGATTGTTTGTGGTGATGTCATTTTATGGTATCTTGCTTTTTTTTTTTTTTTTTTTCTTTCAATTTTCAGAGTGCAGTAGTCCTCATATTCAGCAAATAAAGTGCTTTCTCTATTACAAACCATTCCATCCATCATTTTTTTTTATTGTGGCTAGAGCTGTGTGCAGCATATGCTATGCCAAGGGACGCAGTATCTCTGTGAACACAGCCACAACTCCTAATTTGGCAGGAGTGTGGACAGGTGAACACAGTGTGCATTTAAGGGTCACTCGCCCGCACCTGCATACCTGTCAAATTAGGACCTGCATCTGTGTTCGTGCAGCCGCTGCATCCCCATAGAGTAACAGGCGGCTCCAGCTGCACAAACTACTAATTCACACTGTATGGACTAGAGAACCCATGTGAATGAGCCCTAATTTTTTTTTTTTTTTTTTTTTTTTTTCAAAACACTGTTAAAGGAGGGCTTTGGTGAAATATCGGGTCTATTTTGAGCAGTGAAAGGAACTGAGATGATTGATTGATAGATACCTCAATTCTTTCTCTGCAGCCTCCACTGCACTGCAGATGGATGGACAGAGGCTTACTGTTCATTCACAAGCTGAAGTGTAGTAAACACAGTTTACAATTATGAATGAACACGGTGAATGAACACAGTGAGTGATCAGTACCTATCACTCACCGTGATCATTAAGAAAAGGAAGGGGCCTGTAAATCTGATATGTTTGTGCACTCCACTCCAGTCCCACCCACAGTCTCCATCCTGAAATGATCCCCCTGTGTGCCTGCTTCAGCTGGCAGGAGGGAGAGGGAAAGCTGGCGGTTCTGCTGTCGGAAAGGGGCACGCAGTGGGGCCTGGGAAGCAGGGGGGAAAGAGATTGTGGACAGATTGGTATGGTGGGGGGAACAGTTACTGGAACTGTTTCACGTTCTGGCCATCTCTGCTGTCCACGTTCCCAGCGTGGAAAATTTGCAGGATTTTCTCAGCCATCAATAGCTGAATCTGTAGAAATGGGCCCTTCACCCCTCTGTCTCCATAGACCTTAACTTGGTCATAGTGGTTTTGCAGTCTTGTCCCTTTGAACCTCAAAGAGATTCCCTTGTCATTTTATATGCTCAAGGTTGTCTTTTTGGTGCCCAATACTTTGGCTCGCAGGGTCTTGAAACTGGTTGTACAAGGAACCTTTCCTAGTTCTCCACCAGGATAAGGAGGTGTTGAGGGATCAAACATCTTGCCCAATCACACTTTGGCAGTTGCTGGGGCTGTTCAAATTTATCTGAAGTCTGTAACTTTGTTTTGACAGTCTGTTTCAGCCTAGAGGGACCTCAGATGAAACAGGCTCAGGCAGCTTCTATATCTACTATTTCTATGGAGTCAAACGATCAAGGGACAAGGTTTCCTCCTTTTCTGGGTGTTTCCTGGGTCATTCACAATCAAGCTTCAGTTGTATGTTTGCAAAATTATATCCAGTTGATGTTTTTGCCTCTGAAACCAGTTTTGTACAGAAGGTCTTGCAGTCAACTTATAAGGAGGTTCCCCCTTTTATTTTTTGGGGAATTTGGCTTGTTGCTCTGTTGTCCTCCCTTCAGTTTTTTTTTTTTTTGCTTTGGGACATCCCATGTAATAATGACTAATAACCCTTCTATGTCATGTGATGTACAGTGGGGAAATGTATGATTTTTGGTTTACCTGTAAATTCCTTTACTTGGAGTATAGCACATGACATAGAGATCCCTCCCCCTCTTGCCTGTATTCATCATTGATTCATACAAAACTAGGGCTTAATTAAGTTGAAAAGGATTATACCTAGGGGGGGGGGGGGGGCTACTGTCTTTTTGTCTTTCCAGTGTCGTCATACGTCATACAGGAAGTCCCCAGTTTACGATCGAGAGGTTCTGTAGGTTTGTTCTCAAGTTGAATTTATAGAGAACAGGTACTTTTTTTTTTTTTTTTTTTTTTTTTTTTTAGTGCAACTCCAGCCAAAAAAAAAAATGTTTTGGATAGCATAGGCGAGGGTTAACTGGCCATGCAGTGATGTGGGATTGCTGATTGGTCTGCGAGACAGTAGGTGGCATCATGTGGGCAGCAAGATGGCCACCTGGCAGTTTCCAGAATCAACTTAACTTTATGCTGCCTCCATTCTTAAGTATGAGTCGTAAAAATCAAATATTTGTAACTTGAGGACTGCCTCTAGTAATGATTCTTACGTTTCTGTGTCTTATGATGTACTCTACTCCAAGAAAACGATTTTACAGGAAAGCAAAAATCCCCCCCCCCCCCTTCAAGTTTTGTACAGAGGGGAGAGGGATTGGAAAACCTTTTCATTGTTTTTTCATTGCCATCTGTGCCCCTGTTAGTGAGATTCACCCTCTGTATTGATTCTGTTTGCCATTTATCAGTGACAGTAGAAGAAAATCAAACCAAAACCAAATTTTGGGTTGTCACCAGAACAGGAACAGAGGGAAAATCTTTCAATGGCTAACTAGTTCCAGTGTCAATCAGGATTCCCCTTTGGAGGGATTTCCTCTCCCTTGCTGTTTTGACAATGGGACACAAATGGCAAATTTTGCCTTTTAGTTCTACTATAATGGTTTTTGTTTATTGTATTGTAATTTTATGAATAGGCTGCCCCTTTTATATTGACAAAATAGGTGTGTGTGTGTGTGTGTGTGTGTGTGTGTGTGTGTGCGCGCGCGTGCGTGTGTGTTTTAATACTTCTGTGCTGTACCAGCCCATCTCAGTGCCATTTGTTTGTATCTGGTCATCTGGAGAACCATTACTTATGACTTAGAAGAATTCCCAAAAACACACTCACTCTGTCTCTAACACACAAAAGTTTGTTATATACAAAGAAATAGGTATGAGAAGTACTTAAGCTGGCCATAGTTGGATCCAAATTTGTCCGGTTCAACAGGAATTGGCCGAATTTCGATCTATCTGTGGGCAAGCTGGTTGTACAGTACTGATGTTGATCTATTTCCTTTTTGTAAAATTGCTGCCAGAGGCTAAACTATCTTTTTAAAGGATAACTTCACCTTTTTAACAAAAAATAATAAATGCACATTTTTTTTTTATGTAGGAGAAAAAAAATGTGCATTTAATATTTTTTTGTTTCTGAAGCCTCTAAAGCAGTAGAACACTGGTGCCATGCAGGTCTCTCTCTGACCTATCATTGTATCTGCTTGCTTGTACATTTCGTACGTAGAGAATGTTCAGGTCTGATCATTATATGTTACACCCTGAATATGGGTGTGACGTGTAATGTGTTACAAAGGGTGAATTTATCCTTTTAACAAAAAACGTTTTTTTTTGGCAGAAATTTGCTTTACGCCTAGGCAATTTTTTTAATCGGATACACATTCATATGTTTTTAAATGCAAAACATTTTAAAAGAAGTCTTGTCCCTTGTTCCCAGGAATGGATATTTATGGCTATCTGCTAGCTCGAGAAGGGCGACTGGAGGATGTAGAGAATCTTGGCTGCCGATTATTCAACATATCTGATCAGCATGCAGAGCCATGGGTGGTGTCCGGGTAAGTACAATGTGCATTGTGTGGTCCAGATAAGCATTGCGTAGACACAACTACTCTGCTTGAGACTCTGAAATTTCATGGTGTTACATGAAACCTATAGATTAAAATACAACGCTTCAAATTGCTGTTTTCTTCTGAGTATTCTTAAACTGGCCATAGATGGTTACAATCTTGGCTGGTTCAGCAGGTATGCTATACCATGTTACACCCTACTAATGTTCTTCAATGAAAACAGGCTTTCAAAATAAAAAAGAGAACCGGTGTGTTGTGGCCTTTTTTTTAATGCTTCTTAGACGTGAAAGAGATCTGTTTTGTTGAAACTGTTTAATTGCATGTAAATGTATTAAAAAAAGAGGTGTACGATTTATAATTTTAATAGTCTATGTACATTTATTGTATGTACTTATTTAAGCCTCTTCCCTCATTTATTAAGCGACAGCAACCCTTTCTATAATAATGCTTCATACCCACAGACCCTCTGCCCTCAGTTGAAAGAGCTGAGGAAAAGCAGCCTGTGCATGACAAGAAACTGGGAATTTTTTATTCAAACTAATAATGTTGTCATTGGCGCTACCCAACCTTGAGAAGTGGGATTTTTTTAAAGTCCCTCTTTGTCACCGGTTTATGCAGCTTGTACTTTTGAGTCCTGTGCAGAAAAAGGCAGTGGAAATGCATTAGGATTGTTTTTCACAGCTTGTCAGACCCATGACTTTACATTTTAACTTTAACAATTGTGTATTCAACTACACTGCTCAAAAAATATAACAAAACACTTTTTAATCAGAGTATATCATCAAGTCGATTAAACTCCTGGGATATTGATCTGGCCAGTTAAGTAGCAGAAGGGGTTGTTAATGCGTTTCAACTGCTTTGGTGTTAATTACATTAACAGGTGCACTAGACGGGCAGCAATGAGACGACTACCAAAACAGGAATGGTTTTACAGGTGGAGGTCACTGACATTTTTTCCCTACTCATCTTTTCTGACTGTTTTTCACTAGTTTTGCATTTGGCTAGGGTCAGTGTCACTACTGGTAGCATGAGGCGATACCTGGACACTACAGAGTTTGCACAGGCAGTCCAACTCCTCCAGGATGGCACATCAATATGTGCCATTGCCAGAAGGTTTTCTGTGTCTCCCAGCACAGTCTCAAGAGCATGGAGGAGATTCCAGGAGACGGGCAGTTACTCTAGGAGAGCTGGACAGGGCCATAGAAGGACATTAACCCATCAGCAGGACCGGTATCTGCTCCTTTGTGCAAGGAGGAACAGGATGAGCATTGCCAGAGCCCTAACAAATGATCTCCAGCAGGCCACTGGTGTTAATATCTCTGACCAAATAATCAGAAACAGACTTCATGAGGGTGGCTTGAGGGCCTGATATCCTCTAGTGGGCCCTGTGCTCCCTGCCCGGCACCATAGAGATCGATTGGCATTTGTCATTGAACACTAGATTTGACAGGTCCGTTACTGGCGCCCTGTGCTTTTCACAGATGAGAGCAGATTCACCCTGAGCACATGTGACAGACGTGAAAGGGTCTGGAGAAGTCGTGGAGAATGTTATGCTGCCTGTAACATTGTTCAGCATGACCGTATTGGTGGTGGGTCAGTGATGGTTTGGAGAGGCATATCCATGAAGGAACGCACAGACCTCTACAGGCTAGACAGTGGTAAACTGACTGCCATTAGGTATTGGGATAAAATCCTTGGACCCATTGTCAGACCCTACATGGTTGCAGTGGGTCCTGGGTTCCCCCTGGTGCACAACAATGCCCGGCCTCATGTGGCGAGAATATGCAGGCAGTTCCTGGAGGATGAAAGAATTGATACCATTGAATGGCCCCCACGCTCGCCTGACTTAAATCCAATAGAACACCTCTGGCATATAATGTTTTGATCCATCTAACGCGCCAAGTTGCACCTCAGACTGTCCAGGAGCTCAATGATGCCTTGGTCCAGATCTGGGAGGAAATACCCCAGGACACCATCCATCATCTCATTAGAAGCATTCCCCGACATTGTCAGGCATGCATACAAGCAAGTGGGGGCCATACAAACTACTGAACACTATTTTGAGTTGCTGCAATAAAATTTCAGCAAAATGCACTAGCCTGCTGCATCATTTTTTCACTTTGATTTTTGGGTGTCTTTGAATTCGGTCCTCTGTAGGTTGATAATTTTCATTTCCATCAAACGATGGGGCATCCTTACGTTCCTAACACATTACCCAGTCCATATCAGTGTAGATATCCACCATGATATTTTTTCCCATTGAGATCTGATGTGTTTTCAAAGTGTTCTTTAATTTTTTTTGAGCAGTGTAGTTCAAAGCCCACATGCTGGGGACAGCTCCAGATTGAAAGTAACTATTGCATCTCAAACTGCTTTTTTTATTTTGTACAGTGCCTGGAGGCTCATTTTAGTGCTAGCCCAGCTTTGGTCAGTTGTTGATTACTGTGTTTTATCTTCTTCCTTCTTTTATTTCAGGTGTCACAGCTTTTACACTAAGAGACACTCAAGGGCTTTGTATTTGGGTGCCAAAGCAATACAGCTGAACAGTAACAGTGTTCAAGCTCTGTTACTGAAGGGGGCAGCGCTGAGGAATATGGGCAGAGTGCAAGAGGCAATCATTCATTTCCGAGAAGCAATTAGACTGGCTCCCTGTCGGTTGGACTGCTGTGAAGGTGTGTCTAGAGCATTGGTTGTCAATTTGTGAGGTATAGAAGGCCTCAAAAGTTGTGCTCAAACATTTGCATACCCTGACAGAAATCATTAACTTTTGGCATTGATATTGAAAATATGCCTGATCATGCCAAGAAAATGTATTTTATTTAAGGATAGTGATCATATGAAGCCGTTTATTATCGCATACACTATATTGCCAAAAGTATTGGGACACCTGCCTTTACACACATGAACTTTAATGGCATCCCAGTCTTAGTCCGTAGGGTTCAATATTGAGTTGGCCCACCCTTTGCAGCTATAACAGCTTCAACATTTCTGGGAAGGCTGTGCACAAGGTTTATGAGTGTGTCTATGGGAATGTTTGACCATTCTTACAGAAGCACATTGAGGTCAGGCACTGATGGACGAGAAGGCCTGACTCGCAGTCTCCATTCTAATTCATCCCAAAGGTGTTCTATCGGGTTGAGGTCAGGACTCTGTAGGCCAGTAAAGTTCCTCCACCCCAAACTCGCTCATCCATGTCTTCATGGACCTTGCTTTGTGCACTGATGTGCAGTCATGTTGGAACAGGAAGGGTCCATCCCCAAACTATTCCCACAAAGTTGGGAGTATGAAATTTGTCCAAAATTGTCTCGGTATGCTGACACCTTAAGAGTTCCCTTCACTGGAACTAAGGGGCCAATCCCAACCCCTGAAAAACAACCCCACCCTATAATCCCCCCCCCCCCCCCCACCTCCACCAAACTTTACACTTGGCACAATGCAGTCAGGCAAGTACCGCTCTAGCAAGTGCCAAACCCAGACATATCCATCGGATTGCCAGACAGTGAAACTTGATTCGTCACTCCAGAGAACACATCTCCACTGCTATAGAGTCCAGTGGCGGCATGCTTTATGCCACTGCATCCGACGTTTTGCATTGCACTTGGTGATGTAAGGCTTGGATGCAGCTGCTCAGCCATGGGAAAATGAAGCTCTCTATGCACTGTTGTGCTAATTTGAAAGCCACACGAAGTTTGGAGGTCTTTAGCTATTGACTCTGCAGACAGTTGGCGACTTCTGCACACTGCGCTTCAGCATGCGCTGACCCTGCTCTGTCATTTTACGTGGCCTACCACTTTGTGGCTGAGTTGTTGTTGTTCCCAGTTGCTTCCACTTTGTTATAATACCACTAACAGTTGACTGTGGAATATTTAATAGCAAGGAAATTTCACAGATTGACTTATTGCACAGGTGGCAACCTATCACGGTACCACGCTTGAATTCACTGAGCTCCTGAGAGCAATCCATTCTTTCACAAATGTTTGTAGAAGCAGTCTGCATGCCTAGGTGCTTGACGTTATACATTTGTGGCCATGGAAGTGATTGGAACACCTGAATCCAATGATATGGAGGGGTGTCCGATACTTTTGACAATCTAGTGTAGTTGTTTGGTTCCTTTTTAAATCTTAATAATAACTGAAATCACCCAAATAGCCCGGAGCAAAAGTTTACATATCCTGGAATGTTTGGCCTTGGTACAGACAGACAAAATGACACACGCAGGTTAAAATGGCAATTAAAGGTTAATTTCCCACATCTGTGGCTTTTTTAAATTGCAATTCGTGTCTGTATATAAATAGTCAATGAATTTTGTTAGCTCTCACATGGCTGCACTGAGCAGGCTAGATAGCTGAGTCATGGGGAGCAAAAAAGAATTGTCAAAAGACCTGCGTAACAAGGTAATGGAACTTTATAAAGATGAAATAGGATATAAAAAGCTATCCAAAGCCTTCAAGATGCCAGTCAGTACTGCTCAGTCACTTATGAAGAAGTGGAAAATTTAGGGATCTCTTGATAGCAAGCCAAGGTCAGGTAGACCAAGAAAGATTGCAACCACAACTGCCAGAAGAATTGTTCAGGATACAAAGAAAAAGCCACAGGTGACCTCAGGAAAAATATAGGTTGCTTTGGAAAAAGACAGTGTGGTTGTTTTTTTAGGAGCACATTATGACATGAACATAAATGAGCTGCGTGGTCTATGTGTCAGAAAGAAGCCTTTAATGCGCTATTGTAACAAAAAAGCCTGGTGTGGCATGTCAAGTTGTTGTGTCGGGCATATTGTAACCGGGCTTTTTTTCCCGTATATCCTCCTATCATAGATCCTGTTTCATTCATAGAAACTGTAAAACCTGGCAGCATGACTCCTGAAAGACACTCACTATTAGCAAAAGGTTTATCAGAAAACATGGTAAACACCTTGCTTAAATGTAAGAGGAGAATTACCAGGGCTATCAAACTTTAACATTTGGAAAGTCCATCAATCTTGATCTTTCTCTGCTGGCACACAGGCAATAAGAAGGAAGAGGTGCTTCTTTAGATTTATCTTGTAGTGCATAGAATCATCCAGAGAAATTAGAAAGTCTACAGCTCTTTTTATACTGTTCAGATGTTCCAGAAATGGGAATCCTGCCTCTAAAATTTAATTTGAAAGATAAACCAAGTCTGCTTCTTTTGCAGCAGTGACAGCTAGAATTCAGTGGAGCATTAGTGTAGGGAAGTTGCCACACGTCTAGTCCAATTTTTACTTCCTCCAGCCCCATAAAGTTAGGTATGGACCTTGGGGCTGGGGAAGAGGTCTGCAGGGGATTGTGCATTGCACCCACAATGACTTGATCATGGTTGCAATGATCTGTGGGCTCCAGTGCAATTTTTTTTTTTTTTTTTTCAATTCATGTGGGTACATTTTTGCAGAAGGTGGACTATAGCTTTAAAGTTAGCCTTCCCCTTAAAAGATCAGAGGTTTACAGTCAGAGATTAGAGCACACTCCACCCGCTCTCTTTACATTTCCTGCTGAGAGGTCTGGTGCCACCAATGATCAGATTTTCCACCTGTTCTAGCTCAAATATCTTTATCAGAAACTGCAGAATTGTCTTGTCAAGGCAGTGTGTGGGCGTATGTAGGAAAAATTGAGGACACAGAGTACAGAAACACATTTTAAAGATGTCTTACAGGCTCTGGGTGCACCGTAATGGTAAAGTGCAGTGAAACAATGATCATTTTCTGTAACTATTACATTGCAATTCTAAGTCGACCTTTCCATAAAAAAATTAAAAGGTGAACTAACACCCACCCCCCTCCTAGCCCCTGCTGCACTTAGCTCTGTCAGCGTTTTGCGGTCAGTGCCCACGTATTCAGTGTAGCAGTCTAGGTATTTAAAGACTTTGCTCTTCTTTCACTTCTTTCTGTAGGGCCTCCAGGATGTATCAGAGCATTTTCAATTGGTCAAAGGAGCCACGTGCTGGTGCTGACCAATTAGAATCACTCTGATGTCCCACAAGCCCTACAGAAAGAAGGGGAAGAAGAGTGGGGATTTTAGATACCCAGCCTGCTACACCGGCTGCATGTGCATATATAGCTCATCACCCAGAAAGGAAAGTACAAGGACCAGCAATGTGTAGGGTGTCAGTTCACTTGTTTTCTTTTTTTTTTTTTCCTGAAAAAGGTGAACTAACCCTTTTAAAAAGAAGTATGGGGGGAAAAAAATCACCCCTACCTCAATCCAATGCTGCATCTGTCCCCAGCTGGTTCTAAGTGTGAGAACTGAGCGATCAAACACTGCTGATTAGTTCTCCCCTGCTGCTCTGAGCAGAGAGCAGTGACGGTCAGTCACCGCTGTCTGCTCTGAACCTCACCCCAGCGCTCACTGGAACACTGGGCTGTGGAGGGGGTGGGGAGCGGCTGGCTCAGGCTCTTAGCGGATCACTGAGCCAGCTGCTGGTCCAGGCATCTGGTGGATCCTGGCTGTAAATACAGAATCTTTCCCAAGCCTGGACTGGCTGAGTGACATCAGCCGACAGCAGGCTTTAGCCAGCTGTCAGCTGAAAACAGGTCCCAAGAGTGCAGAACGAACTGCACTCCTGTACTGTACTTCTCCTTTTTAAACTGTTTGTATTAACACAACTGCTCTAAATCCTACTACATGTTTTACAGTGTGTTTATTTAACTTTAATGCAAAATCCTATATTCTTCTATTCTGAAGAAGATCTACATTTTCCCTTCCCTGTGACTTGCTGAATTTGTTTTTCGATTCAGGCAAATTGCAGATTTTCATAGGGAAGACAGACTCACTGGCCCAGGAATCCTATATTTGAAAATGGAGCTAAATGCCCTGTCATTCTTTTTATATTTCAATATTTTTATTGAAAAACTGTAGAAAGTATATACAGAAAAATAAGAAACATAGCCCACCTACATGGTGAGTTGTGGCGAACAAACAGATTCATAGAGTATATAGGCACATAAGAATACATCAACCAATGATGTTGTAAACAAGAAGACACAGCCCCAGTAGGGTAGCACATATTCCATCGGTCAGTAAACATGGGCAGTTCAGATAGTCATCTGACAAAATAAGGAGACTTAAAAAAATTGAACAGAGGAGTCGAAAGAAGAGAGTAAAGAATACAACGAAAAAAAAATAAAAGAGAAGAAAGAAAAAAGGAGGAAGGAAAGAAAAGAAAGAAGAGAAGAGGCCAGCCATAAGTCCATTACATAATAGAAATATACCTAATCCATGGTTCCCATGTAACCTCAAATTTAGAAGTATTATTATTAACGATACTCGTAAGTTTATCATTTATCATAATCCAAGTAAGTTTCTGTTTGACCGAGTCTAGCGGAATTGATGACTGTCTCCAATATCTAGCTATAGTAATTTGTGCTGCCAACAGAAGATAAAGGATTAATTTAACTGATTTCTTGGGAATATCAGTGGGCAACAAATGAAATACCCCGTCATTCTTTTATCAGTCCCAAGCACTGTATGAAGAAAGAATGTGTATGCAGTTCTCATATCCATATTTGATGGCATCGACAGTGGAGTGTAGCAGCAGGGAGGATGATGAAGGAAAGTATAAGTGGTTTGGGGTGAATTTTAAGGAGACTGTCACTTTGCCATGAATGACAGTCTCTTTAAAGCTTTTCATCTGGAAATATAGAAAAAAATCCTGTGTATTCAGTTATGTGTTCCCCACCCTTCTCAGCTCAGATTCTACAAATTGCCAGCTAGAGGCAGTCTTTCAAGCTCATTCCGAACAGGAAACCTCTTGTATAGTATAGTACGATATTCCTCATCACCTTTGTCAGAAATGTATTTGGTTCTGTGCCCTTTAGTTATGTTTACTGAACATTAATATTTGCTATCGTAATCTGATGACGACGGTTTAGTTCTTTATTTGCGGATGTCACTGGCTCAGGTAGTTTGTTTTCAGTGGAAGCCATTAGACTGAAACAATTGCTGATCTTCATTGAAAGCTTGCCAATTCGTCCCTTTATTTCATATGCGCCAGTAGTTACATAGATTCTCTGGCTGATTAAAGTGAGTGAATGCAATTATCCACAGAACCTGTATAACATCAGTATTGGTTGGCAGTTCTGTCTCTGTGTATAGCTGTGCTTGGGGACCTTCGGTGCCTTAACTGTTCTGTATGCACAGAGTGCACAGTGATTGCTTGGTAATGGCTGCACACTTCTTTTCTGCCTCAGTGAGAGTAGCACTGTGTAATTTGTGCAAGTTCTCTCGAAGCATGGACTCTAATACCAGTACCTGGCACGTTTGCCCAAACCCATCTGCATGAATTTTCTCTTGTAAATGCATGCTTTTTTTTAATTTCTTTTATTTCACAGGCCTCATTGAATGTTATCTGGCATCCAACAGTGTGCGGGAAGCTATGGTCATGGCCAACAATGTGTACAAAACCTTGGGAGCAAATGCCCAGACACTGACCCTGCTGGCAACAGTATGTTTGGAAGATCCGGTAACTCAGGAAAAGGCCAAAACCCTCCTGGACAAAGCTCTCTTACAAAGGCCGGATTATATCAAGGCTGTGGTGAAAAAAGCAGAGCTGCTTAGTAAGTAATTGTTCCTCCTTCAACCTCAGTCATGAGCAGAATGTTTGATTGCACTGGACACAGTGGGGGTTATTTACTAGAACTAGAAAGTGCAAAATCTGGTGCAGCTCTGCTTAAAAACGAATCCGCTTCCAGGTTTTATTACCAAAGCTTAACCACTTCCAGTCTGGACACTTTTTACCCCCTTCCTGTCCAGGCCAATTTTCAGCTTTCAGTGCTATCATACTTTGAATGACAATTGCGGTCATCCAACACTACCCATATGAATTTTTTAGCATTTGTTTGAGACAGATAAAGCTTTATTTTGGTGGTATTTATTCACCACTGGGATTTTTATTTTTTTTTGCTATGTAAATGAAAAAGTCCCAAAATTTTGAAAAAAGTGTTTTTCTTATAAAATTTTGCAAATAAATAGTATTTCATCATAAATCTTGGCCAAAATTTATTCCGTTATCTTTTTAGTAAAAAAAAGTTTATAACCAAAAATTATTATTTTTAAACATTTTTATTTACATTTTCTTTATTTTTTTATATTATTTTTTTTTATTTTTTTTTTTTTACATACTGTCACCCTAGCAGTACAGTGTCACCATGGTGACACTGTACTACTTGTGGGGGGTGATGAAGATTTTTTTTTTTTTTTACCCTGATTGCTTTTACACCCATAAAGGCTGTAAAAGCAATCATTTCTCCTCCTCTCTGGCTGCATTCTTGCAGCCATTGAGAACTACTGTGGAGCTGTGATTGGTCACAGCTTGTCACATGGTACAAGGCTGTTGTGAATAGCCTTGTACCATGTGACCTCTGTGATCATTCACAGATTTCACACGTAGTAAGCAATGCTGTCAGAAGGGACATCTTGCTTACTACTCTGCATGTGATCACTGATTGGTCAATCAGTGATCACATGATCGGGACCTCACACAGAGGTCCGGCCAAGGAATCGGTATTCCACTGTGTCCGGAGGACACAGCGGGTACTGGATCGCGGTGCTGCGCGCTCCCAGGGAGTGTGCACAAGCAGGGTGCGAGGAGGCCGTTTATAAACGGCCACCCGACCCTGCACTGCAACCGTCTGGCTGTTTATATATATATATATATATATATATATATATATATATATATATATATATATATATATAGGCCAGATGGGAAGTGGTTAATTGAACAAACTGTAGTGAGAAGTTGATTGGCTACCGTACATGGCTGCTCCAGATTCTTAGTGCACCCGTTTTAGTAAATCTACCCCAATTTTGGATTGTATCCAGTATATTGATATGGAGTGAAATATTATTTTGGACAAAATACATATGCCTTGGTGTACCCTGTGATGTAAATCGGCTTATGGGAACATTTTGTTGTAAATTCCTTCTTTTGGATCTTCTGCATTTATATTCATAACCTACCATGAACGAGGTTATTGTATAGGTAGGGCAGCTGTGTGAATGACTGTTTCATCTGCCATGATACAGATCAGTGACTCTTTACCTGCAGGTCGAGAACAGAAGTATGAAGAAGGCATAGCCCTGCTGAGAAGCACCCTTGCAAATCAAAGTGACTGTGTCTTGCATCGGATGTTGGGTGACTTTCTTGTGGCTGTGAACGAATTTCAGGAGGCCATGGATCAGTACAGCATCGCTCTGAGGTATTGATCAATAATTGTTTTTGTATCGGTCGCCAAGTTTCTTGGGAGACTTGTGTATTTAAAGAACTTCAGGTAAAACAAAATCTGCTATAAGCATGGTAAAAGCAGGTTATGGTCTGGTTTTAATTTTTCCAAAGCAGTGTTTGGAAATGAAAATAATCCATAAAATATTCAGCCAGTAGCGTGCACAGAATCCTGTCTCTGACAACATCTTGCTTTAAAGAGTATGTAATCTTTAACAATGAACTTCTTTTGTTTGTTGCCTTTTAAGTCTGCAAAATATAGTTATGGAGAACAGGACAAGGGGGTGTTCTGCAGCCCTAAACCACTTCCAATCCAAGGGTGACAATGCTGCTCCTTCATAGATCCAGTACATTACATAGGTGTTGTCACCCTAGGACATGTATTGTGTTACTGGCAGGATCACCAGATAAAAATAAAGGTAAAACAGCCTGATAAAGGAAACATTTAGTAACTTAGCAGTCCTTTGATGTGGTGGCTACATTACTTTACTTTTTGTTCTTTTTGGGTTTAGGTAAACTAGAAGTTCTGGCATCTGTTCCTCAGAGCATTTGAATCATTCCATATCCATTTCCTTTGTTCTTAGCTGCTGTGAAAAGATATGCAACTTTCATTCAAAGACATTCTTCAATTCCTAAATAGATCAAAGACTGTATGAAACTAATCTGCACCGTGACCTGGCAATTATTTACAGTCCAAAACATTTCTGTTAACCTTTCATTAGAGAAATGCAGGGCATACTAATTGACTGGCTGTCATGCTGACCCCCTGGCTTTAACCACTTGCCTACCGGGCACTTATACCCCCTTCTTTACCAGGCCAATTTTCAGCTTTCAGCGCTGTCACACTTTGAATGACAATTGCGCGGTCATGCAACATTGTACACATACGAAATTTTTATCATTTTTTTCTCACAAATAGAGCTTTCTTTTGGTGGTATTTAATCGCTACTGGGCACTTTACTTTTTGCGCTATATACACAAAAATTGCAAAAAAATGTGAAAAAAAAAAGTTTCTTTTGTTTCTATTATAACATTTTTCAAACAGGTAATTTTTCTCCTTCACTGATGTGCGTTGATGAGACAGCACTGATGGGAACTGTTAGGCAGCACTAATGAGGTGGCACGGATAGGCGGCACTGATAGGTGGCACTGACTGGCATCACTGCTGGGCACTGACTGGCGGCACTGCTAGGCATTGACTGGCACAACTGCTGGGCACTGACTGGCAGCACTGCTGGGTGGCACTGGTGGGCACATGTGTGTGGCACTGCTGGGTGGCACAGGTGGGTCCACTGCTGGGCACAGGTGGGTCCACTGCTGGGCACAGGTGGGCGCACTGCTGGGCACAGGTGGGTGGAACTGGTGGGTGGCACTGCTGGGCACCGATCATCAGGGCACTGATCATCAGTGCCCTGATGATTGGTGCCGATCCCTGCTCTGACAACTGCCAGTTCTCGGCAGTACTTTCCTCACACTGTGACAGCGGGACGAAAGTGCAGCCGAGAACCGGCAATTGCATTTCCCGGACGTTTCATTGGACACGGCTGACCATGTGGTAAAAGGCTGCTGTGATTGGCCTTTTACCACATCACCTGATCAGCTGTGTCCGTAGGACACAGCGATCACGGAGATCGCTGGGTGTGCGCCCCCGGGGGCACGCAGGAGAGCGCGTTCTGGGAGGACGTCATATGACGCCCTCCCAGAACTGGCCGGCCGCAGTGTAGCCGTCATTCGGCTATCTGCGGTCGGCAGGTGGTTAAAGTGAATTAAACTTTAAAAATAGTAAAAGCTGAGAGGTAGGATTTTTCTGACAGAAGAGACCCTATGGGTGTTTTCTGTCACAACTGTCTCTCCCTGCCTGTCAGTGTGTAAGTACACTGAGCTGCACATGTACAGTTCAGCACACAATTATGGTGCCATGATAAAGTGACTTCTGTACGCATGTGGAGGAGTGTGGTCATAGCTTCCTAGTCAAACAAGCAGAGAGTCCAAACCCGGAACAGGAGATGGTGGTGGACCCGGACAGCCCAGAGTGCTGATACAGTGCTGGAGGGGATCGCTTGGCAGGCAAGTCTGCTGCCATAATGTGCTGATATGCTGTGCATACTTGTACATTATGGCCACTTTAATGCCTTCTGAGTCCCTTTCTCAGGAAAGTTAAGGGGGAGGGGGGGGGAGTTTGTCCAAAGTGCATGTCTTCATACTTGTTTCTGTTCAGTCACTAGAAGAAATGAAGCCAAGCAGTCAGCATGGTGGTCATAAAAGTAGCCTTTCCCAGTGAGATCTGCGGTGGTTCCCTATATTATTATTATTATATTATTATTATACAGTATTTATAAAGCGCCAATAGTTCGCTCAGCGCTGTACATTACAAAGGGGGGGGGGGGGGGACCCTATATGTTTATTTCATGGCACCATTCACACTTGAGCAATGCTATGGTGTTGTGTTTTTGGCACTGTTTTTTTTTTGTTTTGTTTGTTTTATGTGTTTTTGGAGCAGCACTCATTCATTTGTTTCACAAAGAATTTATTAGGTTTTTTTAAAGTGATACAGCTGTCTGTTTACAGCTTTTTGTAATACAGTCCAAGTCAGAAACAATTACAGAAATAAGGCATGTGAAATGATATTCACAATATCTCCCGAAAAGACATCAGTTAGGATGACTCATAGAAAACTGCGGAATTGGCAGAAGAGAAACTCATTGGTTTGTCACTTGCACTGGATCATCTGATAAAAGGAAGATGTTCCTCACTAGCTACAAAAACAGCTTGTAGAGTGGCAAAAAGAAATGAGGTCTACATGATCTTGTCACCATCAAAGCAAGAGGGGTGGGCTGGGATAGAGAGAGGTAGGTATACCCACCTCAACATGGAGGTCTGATGTAAAGTCAGACAGGAAGAGGTGAAAAGACTTGCCTGGGACGAGAGAAAGGGAGAAAAAAAAAAGGGTGACCGGAGAGGCCACATAACCCACAACTAGGAGGAGTTGCAGAGAGAGCAGGTTACGGTCCATTGTCACCCGGGTGTTATGATCAATCTAAGGACTCCAGACCTTAAGATACTAGGCATGCGTGTCTTCTAGAATGGAGGTAAGCTTTTCATACACCATAATGTCCATGAGTTTCTGCTTCACTTCAGCGATATTAAGGAAATGCTCTGGTGAGAGTTTGCTGCGCAGCCAGGAACACAAACCCTGCCAACTTTCTCTGGGTTCTTGATAAAGATGAGATTGGTTCATGCAGTAGGGACTCCCAGGGATTGCGGAGCAGGGAGACTTCGAGAACAGCACTAATCATCTTAAAAAGCACTAATGAAGCTCATGTACCAAATTTTGGCACTGAGCCAAGGCTGTTTTGCGTCGTGTGACAAAACGCACAACTGCTACTAGTGTTTGTGGTGCCATTAAGAAATATTGGCACCACAAGCGTGTTGCACGTTTGCTGAAATATTCTTTTAAGCCCACATTTCTGGTACACCCAGGTGTGAACAGAACCTTAAGAAAACCTATAGAGAAGTGCATGGGTTGACATTGATGATCTTCTGAAAATGCTATAGATCTGGCTGTCATGTCCACTTTTTGGAACAATATTCCAATATTCTTTAATTTACTACCCCAGAATTTGTAGTAGACTATGAGGCTCAGGATATCTATTCCCATGTCACTTCCTGCATGCCTCTTCAGGGCCAATGACAGAAAGTATTGAAGCCACAGATGGTCAGGGTATTAGTTTTTTTTTTTTTTTTTTTTTTAGGTAAGGACAAATGATGTGAATAAAGTACATCGGCAGGAGTGATATACAAGAAAATGTTAACTTGTTTAACCGCCTCTCACCCGCCATATAAGGAAATGACGGGTTCAAGGCAGTTCTCTCATTCTGGGAGGATGTGTAGCGAGGCGATCGGTGGTGCGCTGTGTCCCTCGGACACAGCGGATCACCGATCAACGGAAAGAGGGGACATCTACACTGATCATCAGGGCACTGATTATCAGTGTGCCCTGATGATCAGTGTAGCCCCAGCAGTGCTACCTATCAATGCCACCTGCCAGTGCCTATCAGTGCTACATATCAGTGCCTACCAGTGCACATCAATGCCACATGTCAGTGCCCATCTGAGCTGCCTTTCAGTGTCACCTATCAGTGCCAGTCAGTGCCACCTATCAGTGCTGCCAGTCAGTGCCACCTATTAGTGCAGTGCATCAGTGCTGCCTGTCAGTGCCACCTGTCAGTGCCGCCTATCAGTGCCATATGAGTGCTGCCTTTCAGTGATGCCTATCAGTGCCCATCAGTGCAGCCTATCAGTGCCCATCACTGCAGCCTCATTAGCTCACATCAGTAAAAGAGATAAATCACTTTCCAAAATTTTATAACAAAAACCAAGAAATAAACTTTTTATATAAATTTTCAGTTGTTCTTGGTTTGTTTAGCAAAAAATAAAAAACCCAGAGATGATTAAATACCACCAAAAGAAAGCTCTATCTGTCTCAAACAAATGATAAAAATTTCATATGGGTGCAGTGTTGCATGACCGCGCAACTGTCATTCAAAATGTGACAGCACTGAAAGCTGAAAATTGGCCTGGGCAGGAAGGGGGTATAAGTGCCCTGTAGACAAGTGGTTAATAAATCAACAAACTAGCCTCAGGTATTGCATTGACTATCTGACCAGTATCTCATATCTGATTAAATATCATGTCTGAGATGAGTAGTGTAAATGAAAATACAAGTGCATATCTTTGCTTGGAAATATTGCTTTATTCTGTGTTTTTGCATATCAGACAACAAAGAGATATGTCTGTGATCTGAAATTAAAAAGCAGCGAGGCTTCCTATAAAGATGTACAATACCTGATGGAGTTGACGGTGCTGTCTGTATAACAGGAATTATGTTGGCAGTGCGGAGAATTGGATTCCTATTTGTTGGACTCTTTCCTTTCCATCTGATGCTGAATTGCAGCATTCTGCAGCAAAGCATGGAGCATGTGCATTACAGAGCGTTCTGCAGCAAGCAATTGACACATCTCCTGTCAGGCAGCCATCCTGCGTCTCTGTGCAGCATTATGTACATCTGCATAGACTTTACCTATAGGATGGCATTTCAGCTAGATGCCCACATGTTTTCTGCTAAAATTAGAAGATAGTAGTGATTAGTGGAGAGCTCTTTAAAGCTGAATTCCATGCAGATAAAAACCCATTTCATTTCAAGTGTGCATTTTAAAAAAAAAAAGGCAGCAAATGTGTTTTTACATAGAACTAGCATTTGTATGGCAGTCTGCCTTGAAACAGGCTCCTGTAATTAGGAGAGAAGGAGGCACATTTCCAGTGAGAATAAAAAAAAAATATTTTTGTCATTTTCAAATAAAAATTGGATTTGGAGTTCCTCACAATGGATTTCCCACACCTTACCATGTGCCAATCATTGATCATCACTGGCATGTTTCTTTCTGGGATGAATGCAATCTACTGGTGTCTGGTAGTGCAGGGGAATGTACGTGGTTGTTATTGAGCTACCAGTGCCTCAGGTAACCTGGCATTAGAAATGCAATGACTGGCAAGTAAGGGAAGCAAGGGACAACAGTTCTTGGCTTTAAAATTCATAAATATATGGCAATACTGAACTGTAAAGAGGAAACAATGTGAAACCTCAATTGGACTTAGAAGCTGAACTCCGGACACAAACTTTCATTTCAATATATCCATCAATAGCCCCAAAGGATATAAATTCTACTTGTGTGCACCAAATGTTCTTGTAAGCCCAGATATTGACTTGTAAATGTAGCAGTGACATCATCGCTGTGTTTTACATGTGTACACATACAGTGGGGATCGAAAGTTTGTGCACCCCAGCTAAAATTTGTATTAATGTGCATAAAGAAGCCAAGGAAAGATGGAAAAATCTCCAAAAGGCATCAAATTACAGATTAGACATTCTTATAATATGTCAACAAAAGTTAGATTTTATTTCCATCATTTACACTTTCAAAATAACAGAAAACAAAAAAATGGCGTCTGCAAAAGTTTGGGCACTCTGCAGAATTTATAGCATGCACTGCCCCTTTGCCAAGCTGAGACCTGCCAGTGTCATGGATTGTTCTCAATCATCGTCTGGGAAGACCAGGTGATGTCAGTCTCAAAGATTTTAAATGCCCAGACTCATCTGACCTTGCCCCAACAATCCGCACCATGGGTTCTTCTAAGCAGTTGTCTAGAAAAGTGAAACTGAAAATAGTTGACGCTCACAAAGCTGGAGAAGGCTATAAGAAGATAGCAAAGCGTTTTCAGATGTCAATATCCTCTGTTCGGAATGTAATTAAGAAATGGCAGTCATCAGGAACAGTGGAAGTTAAAGCAAGATCTGGTAGACCAAGAAAAATATCAGACAGAACAGCTCGCAGGATTGTGAGAAAAACAATTCAAAACCCACGTTTGACTGCACGATCCCTCCAGAAAGATCTGGCAGACACTGGAGTTGTGGTACACTATTCCACAATAAAGAGATACTTGTACAAATATGGTCTTCATGGAAGAGTCATCAGAAGAAAACCTCTTCTACGTCCTCACCACAAAAATCATCGTTTGAACTTTGCAAATGAATATATAGACAAGCCTGATGCATTTTGGAAACAAGTTCTGTGGACCGATAAGGTTAAAATTGAACTTTTTGTCCGGAATGAGCAAAGGTACGTTTCGAGAAGAAGGGGCACAGAATTTAATGAAAAGAACCCCTGTCCAACTGTTAAGCATGGGGTTGGATCAATCATGCTTTGGGGTTGTGTTGCAGCCAGTGGCACAGGGAACATCTCACGAGTAGAAGGAAAAAATGGATTCAATAAAATTTCAGCAAATTTTGGATGGTAACTTGATGCCATCTGTGAAAAAGCTGAAGTTAAAGAGAGGATGGCTTCTACAAATGGATAATGATCCTAAACACACCTCGAAATCCACGGGGGATTACATCAAGAGGCGTAAACTGAAGGTTTTGCCATGGCCTTCACAATCTCCTGACCTCAACATAATTGAAAATCTATGGATAGACCTTAAAAGAGCAGTGCGTGACAGACAGCCCAGAAATCTCAAAGAACTGGAGGACTTTTGTAAGGAAGAATGGGCAAAGATACCTCAAACAAGAATTGAAAGACTCTTGGCTGGCTACAAAAAGCGTTTACAAGCTGTGATACTTGCCAAAGGAGCAGTACAAGATATTAACTCTGCAGGGTGCCCAAACTTTTGTAGACGCCATTTTTTTGTTTTCTGTTATTTTGAAAGTGTAAATGATGGAAATAAAATCTAACTTTTGTTGACATATTATAAGAATGTCTAATCTGTAATTTGATGCCTTTTGGAGATTTTTCCATCTTTCCTTGGCTTCTTTATGCACATTAATACAAATTTTTAGCTGGGGTGCCCAAACTTTCGATCCCCACTGTATGTGTACTCTGTGCTTGTGCACAGAGCAGGGCAGAGCTGTGAGAGATGCCTAGCGGGTCCACCCAATACAGACTGCTTGAAGAAAACTACAGGGGGTGGAGACAAGACCAGTCACCTTGCACATTAGAGAGAGTAGCAATGACTGGCCTTTATTACAGTAAGCTCCTGCACAGAAGCAGAGTTTTACTCTGTGTATTTCTTCCAGATCTGTGCAGTAATCCAAAGCACACCAATATTCAAGTAGAATTACACATGCCTCTTTATATTTAGATAATATTTTGCATAGCCCAGAGCTCAGCTTTAAAACTTGTACAGCTCTGGCCAAAAGTTTGAGAATGACACAAATATTAATTTGCCTACAAGGAAACATGTGCAGTCATCATTGCTTTGCACAAAAAGGGATTCACAGGCAAGAATATTGCTGCTACTAAGATTGTACCTAAATCGACCATTTATCGGATCATTAAGATCCAGATCAAGGAGAGAGGTTTAGTTGTTGTGAAGAAGGCTTTAGGGCGCCCAAGAAAGTCCAGCAAGAACCAGGACCATTTCCTAAAATTGATTTCGCTGCGGGATCGGGGCACCACCAGTGCAGAGCTTGCTCAGGAATGGCAGCAGGCAGGTGTGAGTGTATCTGTATGCGCAATGAGGCAAAGAGTTTTGGAAGATGGCCTGGTGTCAAGAAGGGCAACAATGATGCCACTTCTTTCCAGGAAAAACATCAGGGACAGATTGATATTCTGCAAAAGGTACAGATATTGGACTGCTGGTGACTGGGGTAAAGTAATTTTCTCTGATGAATCCCCTTTCCGATTGTTTGGGGCATCCGGAAAAAACTTTGTCCAAAGAAGAAGAGGTAAGCGCTACCATCAGTCCCGTGTCATGCCAACAGTAAAGCATCTTGAGGCCATTCATGTGTGGGATTGCTTCTCAGCTAAGGGAGTGGGCTCACTCACAATTTTGCCTAAGAACTTAGCCATGAATAAAGAATGGTACAAAAATATCCTCTGAGAGCAACTTCTCTCAACATCCAAGAACAGTTTGGTGACAAACAATGCCTTTTCCAGCATCATGGAGCACCTTGCCATAAGGCAAAAGTGATAACTAAGTGGCTTGGGGAACAAAACATCGAACGTTTGGGTCCATGGCCAGTAAACTCCCCAGACCTTAATCCCATTGAGAACTTGTGGTCAATCCTCAAAAGGCGGGTGAACATAAAAAATCCCCCCCCCCCCCCCCCCCCCACAAATTCTAACAAACTCCAAGCATTGATTATGCAAAAATTGACTGCCATTAGTCAGGATTTGGCCGAGAATTGACTGAGAGCATGCCAGGGTGAATTGCAGAGATCTTGAAAAAGAAGGGTCAACACTGCAAATATTGACTCTTTGCATAATTGTAATGTAATTGTCAATAAAAGCCTTTGAGGCTTATGAAATGCTTGTAATTATACTTCAGTATACCATAGTAACATGTGTCAAAAGGATCTAAAACCCCTGAAGCAGCAGACTTTGTGAAAATTAATGTTTGTGTCATTCTCAAAGTTTTTGTCCAGGGCTGTACAGGACACACATACACTATAGGACCCTTAGGCAAATTATAATTGCTGTCCCCATTGGGGAGATTCACCCCTCTATATATAGTGGTGACTACCATCACCAAGAGAGGAAAAAGTGAGGGTAATTGTCCTGAAAACAAGTGGTAAGGGGAACAGCTGTCTAAAATACACTTTAAAACATTTGCACAGGTGGACAGTTATTTTTCTGCTGTTCCCTGAGGGTTTTTGTACATCATGTAATGCTTGCTTTTGGTTTATTTTCAGTTTGGATCCAAATGACCAAAAATCCCTGGAAGGTATGCAGAAGATGGAGAAAGAGGAAAGCCCAACAGATGCTACACAAGAAGAAGATGTGGATGACATGGAGGGAAGTGGAGAAGAAGGAGACTTGGAGGGCAGTGATAGTGAAGCAGCCCAGTGGGCAGATCAGGAGCAGTGGTTTGGGATGCAGTGACCTGAAAATTATGTGAAATATAAACCTCGCACTATTTTCTATTTTACTGAATTTATCCAGATTATGGGAAACACCTCTTCTGCAGGACCTTTTTGCCATGGAATCACCCCCTGCTTTTTTAGCTTCCTTATTGTCCATATTTTATAGCATCTGCCCTGCATGCAGATTCCATTCACCTCTGGGGCCCTTAGGTGAAACACTCCTGTAGCCACCCAAACCTGTCCCAGCATTTGCATTATGCCTTCAACTGCAAACATCACCAGTTGAGATACTACTATGAGGGTTTTTAGCCAGAAAGAAAACAGCATTCTGTTACTGAATTGACTTGTATGTTGTATCAGGCTTGTGTGTTTAAAAAACACCCATATATCAGAAATGTATAAGATGCATTTGCTGGCCTTTTCTTTAAAATGACTGGTAGCCAGGCTATTGTGGACATCCATTGGCTTTATCAGCTTCTGAGATAATACCTTGCAACAAGTAATGTAGATTAGGAGATTGGACTATACTCTGACCTACCCTGCTGCATACTTGTTCCAGGTCAGAAGCTCAAAGTGTTCAGTCAATTAACATTTTTAGAAGTTCAGCATTGGCCCTCATCTTTTTCTCAGTACAGGTTTTTTATGCATGTTTAAATCTTAACATTAGTATCTGTATTCATGTACATTTTTCTTTTGTATGGAAAAACCTAACACGGTGACAGATGTGTCATTAGAACACTGTTTTCTGTGACCATATTCTAAGGGCACCTACCTATGGGCATGAAAGTCTAAGATCATCACGCTCGGTGACCTCAGACCTACTGAAGCATCTGTGATCAGTGGAGATTACCATAGGGTACATCATATGTCAGGGCAGTTTCACACCACAGAGGACCAAAATGCACCTACTGGAATTCTTTGCCTGCTGATTTGGGGTTTGCTGATCTGCAGTAAACTCTGTAAACTATGCTGAGCACAGGTTCAGTAGGCAGGTCCTGACAGCTGTCAAAGTTTGCAAAGGAGAGCATATACAGAAAAAGAAAGCAAAAAAGTTTATAGTTCATAGCCAAGCCAATCTGAACCAGGAAAAAAAGTTTCTCTCTTACAAAAGGTACCTTGTGTATTTTGCTGTGAAGATAAGTAGGTCAGATGAGACACACTATTTTTTTTCATGTGTGACGTCTTAAATTAGCATTACTCTTCCATTGAAATAAAATGTAGTCATTTCATCAGCTCCATATTCCAAACAGTATCCAGTATTTTCATTAGACCCGAGTTCTTTACATCTTTGTGATATTTCATGTGTACATTGCATTATCATATACAGAAATATATAAATTTGTATATAGTCTATTAAACTCAAATGCTAGTTGTTGGCCTGTCACACCTCTGCAATTATTGTATAAAGTATACAGGCCTATATGTAATCATGTTTGAATAGGAATTAAAAGAAGAAATAATGTGAGATTGTATACAATGTATACTGGATTTAGCTGTATGCCAGATAGTGCTTTTCTGTTAAATAAACATTTTTAAGTGATGTGTTTGCCAGCCTTTTTTTTTTCCCTTAGACAGATTTTTTGGATGACAGTGGCTTGAATAACAAAAATGGTTCTAAAGTACAATGTTTTGTTACACTTTTTAATATTAACCACAAGTGTTTTTTTTTTTTTTTTTTGTTTTTTTTTTTCCCATGAAAAAATGAAGGTCTCATGCAATGGACTGAATCTACTGTTCGCTTTAATTTCCTTTTGGGGACTCCAGTTATTCCTGGCTGTGTCACTGCCCTCCGTTGGCTTCTCTCAACTCCGCCTTTTGCATTTCTAATAATATACTAATACCCAGCATGACAAAACAGGGGGAACCCCTCATAATGCCCAATGCAGGTTTAATAACTTGCCACCAAACTCCCTGTCGTTGGAAATAATTTGGGCACTTAAACCAAAACTGATGGCAAATCCCTTTATTTTTAATATTTAGGATTAGAACACATCTCAGATGTATTTTGTTGATTGTTCCCATTAAGGATATTCACCCTCTTGGTTTGTCCTGGTGACTGTTAAAAGAAAATCCAAAACTTCAATAAAAATGTGAGTGGAGAGTCAATCGACTATATCTAGATAGCACCCATTTAGATCAATAGGGTGTGACAGTGCTGTGCCATGCCATGGGGTAAAGTGGTTATGACCCAGGGTGCTCATACATACAGGTTGATGGGCTCCAGGGGTTTACTGAATGCAGTGGAAACTGTTTTTCAGATTCCTCACCAGTTGTTAATACCCAGTCTAGAACCCGGGGCCCAGAGATTTCTTAGAGACTTTGGAGTGATGAAATCTTGAGTCCTGGGTCCGTGCTTCATGAATAATTGGCACACAGATTGTGCAGAGCTTTTTTATTTATTTATATATATATATATATATATATTTATTTTTATTCTGTTCTGGGCTCCACCCTGGCAGACAGGAGGTCTTTGCACAGGAGGCAAGAGGGCTCCACCCAGGAGAGATAAGTGGGAGCCAGAGCAGACAGTTGTGTAGGAAGCAGACAAAGGGCCTAAAGGGTAAGGCCAGAGCAGGTGTGCTACATGTATAGATCTGGAGGCTGAATGTGTATTTCTTTGGGTGGAAGATAAATGCTGAAAACTGAATGTGAGCAGAACTTGGATTTCTGGAACAGTGTTGAATTTTCTTTTAATAAAAATGGGCAAGAAAATCCCTTAAAAATGAATTCCGTAAGTGGAATATCCTTAATGTGCTATTGCTTGAAGCTAGTTCTCACAGTGGTCAGTATATCTGTAAACACATATTGCGATTCAAATTGGTGTAATAATATTAGAAAATAATGCTTAACAGGAAATATGTTTTTATTAGGTAATAGTGTCACATGACGGAAAATATCAGGGAGGCCATAACTCCTCTAGAAGCGATAATAAAGCGATAATGAAAATCTGACAGTTCTTTTCTGCGCCAATAGCCTGTTGTGCGGCTGACAGAATGACAGCTTGACCCAATTTGGGGTGCAAGGCAGGGATCACACTACAGTCACAGCATTGACGTTCATTCTCAGATGGGTCATGTTGTTTGTCAGAGTACAGGTAAGTAGCTGCTGTTCTACATGAGATCCTGTCCCTGTGAATAGGAAACATATGCTATCAAGGAATAAGAGCAAGCTGCTGTGCTTCATCAAAGTGACACTGTGATTTTTATTTTATATGGCATGTCTACTGGCATGACAAGATTGGACCAATCAGCACAGTTTCTACTGCATTTGAAGTTTCCCACAGCAAGAAAACCACAGAGTTCCAAAGCTAAGCTGACATTGGGTCAGACAAGTTGTAAAATATTCCTGCTGCTGAAACTAATATTAGATGATTTATATGCATACATCTGTTTTCAGTGTTTCTTGTGACAACTACTAGTGTGAATACAGTACTGCTATAACTTTCAGTAACTAATAAAGTAAAATAAAATATGGTTCAGAATCTGACATCATTAGTGTCATTTCACAGGTCCCCTCTGCACTCAGTAGTTGCCTATGACTCCCCTTCATTACTACTGTGTCCTGTAGTGATGTAGTTTTGGTGGGAGGAACAAGAGGCTCTTCAGTCCCTGGCTTCTGTATATACTGCAGAGATTTAACACTGGTCCCTTTCACATGAAGGGTTTGATCAGGCCAGCCTGTTAGTTTTTAAGGTGGACCTGATCTGACCCTCCATTCATCCCTATGGACTTGCAGGTGCAAACGGACTTGTGTCCTTTTACATTAAGCTGCGTCCAATTCCATCCAGCCCGCTAAGGAAAGAAACAGAAGGGGATCTGTCCGCCTCCATCTAGGTGGATTGGAGGGCAGTTGAGTGTAAACATAAAAGAGAGTTCGTTTACATCCGGCCACCAGCAGAGTGGGCTCTGAGCAGACACAGACCTGTTATCTGCCTGTTCTGATCTGATCAGCAGGGAATCAGTGGACAAATCCCCTGCTAATCTAAACAGCCCACCTTGTGTGAAAAGGGCCTTAGGGCCTAGTCACGCTGCCTGCACACTAAAACAATCCATTGTAGCAAGAGGGCTGGTATTCATTTTGTCTGGCAGCAAGGGGGTTGTGCAAAGCAGCGTTTACATTTTTAGAATACCATATTGAGAGTGTACAATTGTACACTCCATATATTTTCTATATGTGGTGCAAAGCATTTTCTGATTGGATAAGGTGGAGATTGCAACGTCCCACCTCTCCACCACATCCAGTCAAGGAACACTTAGCATTTTAAATGGAAATGTGTTCTCTGAATGGCACCCATGCAGAGTAGACTACATCTTGTGTTCAGTAAGCAGTTGTGCAGCTGCTTGGCCTGGGGCCTGGAAGATAGTAGCAATAGTTGTTGTAGTGTAAATATTTTAGGAAAATTACCATAGTTGGAATTCAACTTTATGCTCTTAGTCTGGGTAAAGGTACATATTAAGCTCTCAGTTTGACTTCCTAAACTGGAACTTGTACAATGAAAAAGGAATTGCCCTACTTTTAAAGGGATCTCCAGGGATGATATATTGCATGCTTACATTCAGCCAGCTTGGAACAACATAAGTATGCATTTGTAAAACCTGATCAGCCTATGTGGAAATGTTAAATCACTGCAATACCCTGAGCTACTACAGTGATGGCTGCAATCTTCTAGATGCTGTGCCTTTCTGCAAAGTTACTACAGGGGGTCACTCACTTGCCACTACCCCATTGTGACATCACCGTCCCGCCTCTCCACTTTGTCCAATCAGAGAATGCTTTTCATTACTTGAGAAAATGCCAAAAACGTCTGAGCTACTACAGTTGTGGGTGTGGTCTTCTGGGCGAGGTGCTCAGTGATTGCCTTTTTGTATAGTAACCACAGGGTTACTATACAAAAAGGTAGTCACTCAGCACATCACCCAGAGAGACCGCGGCCATAAATGTAGTAGCTCAGACTGCTACAGAGATTTACAGAGGCAGATAAGGTATTGTATATGCCTAATTATGTAAGTATGTAAAATA